ACGAAGATAGTGTTCTGAAATGGCTTGCAGTTGATTTCCGCAAACGCTTAACTAGTACTGATGATAACAATTGGTCTAGGATGTCATCGCCTGGCTTGACTCAATTTATGGCAGAAACATGCACTTACCAAAGATGTAGGTTGAGAAATTATAAAATTACCTACATACACTTGGCAGTTCATATGGCCATTTTAAGCAGATAAGGTGGTTCATAAATATAAGCTAAATTTGGGATTAAAGTAACTACAAAAGCGGATAAGATTCCTTAAATTGTCCCTTTTCTTTGATATTCGATAATAAATCTACATCGTCATGCTACTACTACAATGTATCATGCAGAAAAAACTGTGAATTGTGATTAATACTGTTCTTCAGAAGATTTATAGTCACACACTTTAAAGAACCATCCTAGAAAACGTCCAGAGTCTAAATGCAACGTTGGCCGCGATAACGACCAAGCACATATTCCTCTGCGCAGGGGCAGCATAACACGTTCATCACGCTACAGAATGCTCAAGCTATGCATAAAGTGGAATGTAGATGAATAGTCAGTTACGGGCAGTCATGATAATGCGATAAAAAAGTAACATACACAAAGATAAATCAATAGAACGCACACGGAATTCTGAAAGTCGCACTCGTGAGTGAGCTCAGTTAAAACGCTAGTGTTCGAGGTCAGTGTTCGGTGAAAATAACTAACAAATAAAAGTGAAAATTATGCAGCAATACATAGCATACTACTCTTCTGAAATAACTTAGGGGATAATGCGCCTCAATGTAGCACGAAAGTACGTACTAGTTTATAAAATGCTGTCGGAATAATATGGGAAGTAGCAACCCGATAAACCGCACCAGCAAAAGCAGACTGAAGAGAGAGGTAACGGCTTGAGAGGAAGATTTTTCGAAACAAAAGAATGTGAAGCGTAATAGTGAAATAAATAGCTTACCTTATTAGGTATCCATGACGGTATTGTTATGAACGTATAGACACAAACTCTACGGTGTTCTGCCTGTGTTTATAAATTCGACAGTCCGATGTGAAAATGGTGAGTTAACAGTTGAAAAAATGCAAACGCATCTGATTTGATCAATTTTAAGGAGAAAAAATCTCGCTCATGAGTAGTTAAATATGTTTGTGGGGGACAGGAACGCAGCATATATGGGAGTATATAGGGGCTCGGAGCTTTCCTCCCCAATATATAATTCCTAAACCAGACGAGGCCATTGGCTCCATTTTCGAATTGAATTGTTTTTGTGAAATAATAGGTGAGGCAACCGTCAAGATGATCAGACAGAAATAATCCACCGCGTACGATTTTAGCCCGCTTGGGGTAAAAGTGGGGACTGGAACATTAAAAGTTATGCATATCATAAAAAAAACGGAATGATGCGACCATAATGTTTCTTTCCTGAGTGAACAAACTCGAAGCAGATAGTGAAAACATAGAAATCCGCCGCGATCGTCAACAAATCGCTTGGGTCCTAAAGGAGGGGAGGACGTTGCAGACTTCGATCTTCCTGTCGACTGCGCTCACTCCTGTCTACATGACCAGACTACTAAGTTGACTGACTGAGTAAGCCGCTTCTCTGAGGTGTTCCGCCAACTTGTCTTTCTGGATCCTGACCCCGGTAGTTCATTTCGTTGACTCCTTCCGTATATCCTCGTCTCATTCCTTTAACCTTCAGTACTTCTGTGGCGGACAGCCGGTAATGCTACCTTCCCTTCGTTCCTCAAGGCCCGCTGCCAACCCTCGAGATTGGGTATGACTGGCTGATGACGGCTAATAAGCC